AATATGATGGTACCTTCAAGCCAATGAACTGGGATTTAATTTTATTTGAGACACGAACATTCGATATTTTTTTTATTTTTTTTTTCAAATTGGATTTACATATTTGAAATTTGCTCAAAGAGGCATTGTCATTCTCACTGGATATGTTTTAGAAGGTACACTCGACAACTAAATACTGTAAGATGCATAGCAAACAGTAGAAGACATATGGAAACAAAATCATTAAATCCAAATAATTGAAAATCTAATCAGAAGGGTATTTTGCGCCTATGTTCGTTAACTTCACCGAAAACAATTTGTATACGACTTGCTAATTGACGTTTACATCTTAACGTTGACTCAACAGATATGTGTCAAATCACTTAATTTGAACATACATGAAGTATCTCTTTAGTCAAGTTGCGTCAAATCAAGAAGTATTATTTTACAACCGACTACGACGCATGGAGATAAATACATAATTGATTATATTCATTAATTAATTTGGTGTATCATTTCTGTTCAATTCCTAGACAACTACACATAAAGCAAACAGAAACCTGGACACATAACAGAATACACACATCGCCCTTCCTCAAAATCGATGACCCGCTTGACCCGAGCAAGCGCCTTACTCACTGAGCCAACGTGGTTTCCAAATTGTTTGGACGATTAAGTGTCCGTATATTTTGGCAAAATAGGACTGCCTTGTGTTTCTGTTACGGGTCATGAACTATATTACAGTATATCATTAATTATTACCATTATTGATACCATGGGAGCCACGGTGGCTAAGTGGGGAAGACGCTGGCTCGTTGGCCTGGAGGTCGCGTGTTCGATCACGGGTCATGAACTATATGGCCGAGAAAGTTCATCGGGATTTCCCAACGTTGTTTGTCCTTGGCGTGCACGTAGAAGATTCCTTGGCAGTTGGAATTCGATGAGAGTAGGCCACGGTGGCGCTGTCCGGGCAAAATGTCTCGCACAGTACTCTGTATGGCGTATACCCGTCTTCATTGGCAGAATAATAGGACGTTAAAGCCCATTTCATTTCATTTTATTGACATATTATCCAGCCATATATATAGCCTTATCAAAGAAAATCTTGATTTTGAAACTATTCAGCCGTTATAGTAAGGATGCGTTGCTTGACAGGTAACTGTTAAGACTTGTCATTAGGACGATCTGTGTGTTTATTTCTTTAGCAAATTACAAGCTTTTGCTATTTAACGTGTAGACATTACTAGCTGTGGATTATTGATTTATAGATCAAATGGTAGGTAATATAGATTTTTTAAAATTTACATATATTTGATAGACAGAATAAAAATAGAACATATGTCAACACATATATGTACGTCATGGATGTATATAAATATACTTTAGACAGAAAAGATAATGGTGGTTCTAGTAGTGTTTATTCTTCACTTAAATTAATCTAAAAAGCCTTAAAAGCGTTAATTTCAAAGGAAACAAAGACACAAATCTATATAAATGAACTCGATTGGATCGATCAAACATATAAATGGACGGATTTCGAAATTCCCGCCTATCGGCTGTTTCATATTTCCGATTTAGGTTTTTAGGTGCTATTATTTAGCAGTAATTGAGTTTGGATGTATAGGATTATGAAAATAAAGAATAGGATGCGGTGCTTTTATTAAGATTGGCAATTAACCATTGACGACCACAACATGTTTACGGAATATTTTATTATCTTTAAAATTTAGAGTATACATGTATTCTGTGTATTTGACATTAATTTAGAACATGCTTTCATGGTTAACTGTATCTCGGAAAAAAGATCTCTAATTATTTGTTCACGAATTCTATCTTGATACTAATAATGAAATAGCAATAATTCAGATCTTTTTGGACTTATGGTAGTTTATTATTAACCATATCTCTTGAGTATTCGACAGAATTGTATGTTGAATACAGGAACCGTGTTTGGAATAATTGTTTACTAGGATTATGTCCATGTCTATGGTTAAAGACTATAGTTTACTGGACGATTGATCTAAGGAGTATGGGTTAGATCATTAAGTCTGTCATTGAGTCAAGTGGCGTCATTTAGATCACAAATACGTGACACGGACCAGGCTCGCCTGACCCTCCCCCCATTCTCTGTCTCACCCCCCCTCTCTCTCTCTCTCTCTCTCTCTCGTTTAGGTATTATTTATGAATCGATGTTGGTTCTTTAACATAGATTTAGTAGGCTAAAAATATTTATAGCAGTACTATAACTTTGATAACAAATATCATTTAATTTTGAACAATATAATATTCCATTTTACCGAAAACACAAGAACTTCCCTGCAATTGGAGTAGGGGAGTAACGTGTCAGCATGAGTCAACTGGAAACTCACTTTAAATTGAAAGGTCATACTTTAGCATCTTGGTGATATTTTGGCAGATTTTGCACACATTCTAAATTGAACTAGCTGAATAATCAAATAGATTTTTTTACTAAGCGCTTATTTTAAACTCCGCAAACTACTTATTTATACTGAAAATCAGTAATACAGACATCGAATACAATAGTCAGAAAATAGAATTTCAGGCATTTTCAAAGATATACTATCATTTATTTTGCATGGAATGTCCCATATGTCGCTCCACTTATATTCACTGGTATGAACTGTCTTAATTGAATTAGAAATTAAATATTATTATCAGACAGATATTGATAATTGTCCTGTAATAATTCCATCTGTCGATAATATGTAGGTCTCTAACGTGTCTGTGATCTACGTGAGCAATGTTGATGTACGATATTGTAAATTGATTCCTCTTAAAGTACAAGTACACTCCATTTGAACTATTTCTATTATCTTGCGGTTTGACCCGTCTTGGTCGGTTATTACGAGAAACTGGCAAACTTTACATTCAATAATAATACCGCAAACATGAGCTGTCGGGAAAATCTTTAAATCGTTTCATCATTTTAGAATCTCTCGATTTAAAGACCTCCAGAAAGCATTTTTTAATCCAGACAAGTAGAGGCTTTTATTAAATGTATAAAAAATGTATAAAACATTTTAAATCATTGTTCATTTCTGTATTTACGGGTGTTAAGCAAAAGGTATGGCATAACTTCACTATATGGAGTACTTGATATCATTCATTCAGTTTAGGAGTTCACGTTACTAACATAATTAAGTTCGTTGACTTTGTCCGTACCACTAGTCTGAAAAATCTCAAAGTACTTTCCCGGCCAACACCGATATATATTCAACCTGGCACCCCCTAATTAGTTAGTGATCAAGCACTTTTCTCCCTGAGGCACCGTGACTCCCACAGAACTCACTATAATATATTTATCATACATCTTTTTTTTCTGTGTAATAAACCACTGGTTTTATGATTAGAAAACTACTGGATAAAGTATGTGATAATTATTATTTACGGTTTTATTGTATATATATAAATGATGTTTGTTAATATGGCATGATAAAAACAATAACTAAATCACTATGGGGCTTTAATGAGCAGTGTGTAAATTATAATCAATACAATTAATCCTTCATATCCCAGGTGACCTTGGTTTTAATCTTTGATTATCACTATTGTATAGTGAAGAGTCAGTGACATGTTTATAATGTTTGGATTAATAGATATAATAATCTATTGAAGAAAGCCCTTGACTTAATTGCTTGAAGGAACAATATTTTCGATGTTGTTTCTTTAAGACCAAAATCGATGTTTATCAACAGTTTTGGCTAAGACTTGTTTAAAATCGGTTTGAGATCGGTTAATACTTCTAGTTTTAAGTTTCACGTGCCCCCATGCATTGTGTGCATGATGTCAAAATTGATGTACTTAACTCACAAAACGTAATACATTGTAGACTTATTAAATGAAACTTACAATTCGTGTTTTATAACTATGAGAAACGAAAACATTATTGAGCAATAAATTCATGAAATTATGACAATCTTGACGGCTATAATTTAAGTTTTGAAACAAATATTAAAATAATAAATCTCGTCCGTTCTCATATACATATATTATTGTCTTTTAATGCATTTAATATTTAATTCTTCTGGAGGTGGAATATTAATGAAGTATTTTTCATGGACAATCCTCTGTTATTATTTGAGAAAAGGAAAGTCATTTTTTAATATAGAAAGCTCAAACGCCCCAATAAACACTTAATTAAATGGGAAGATAAATCCAACACCTCCTACAAGATTATCAACATTGATGAATATATTCAATTGTGAGAATACCGCGATTTAATCTGCGGTTTATCGCGTATCTCACGTCTGTATCAAAATGTCCGGTCAATGGCCCACTTTATGTCTGCGCTATGAATTCATGACTAGTTGCAGTTGGTATTTCACCTGACCCAATCAATCGCTCCCTTTTCTGTGACGTCACTTTGTTAAAAACTAGCACACAATCTCAATCGAAACGGTTTACGTAATATGTAACGTGCGATTAAACTTTTAAAAAGTGTCCAATGAATAGAGAGCATTTTAAGAACTGTTATGTTTTACACTTGACCAATGATCATCTATCTAACATTAACTAGCTAGGTCACCAATCTAGATACAGAAAGGTCAAAGTGTCAAATACATGTATATAGCCTAACGGTTATCGTATACAGCAAGCTTGTGACAGACACAGAGACAGCTGATTTATTTGTATGAGTCACTGACATGTATGTTCATTTAATAGAAGAGCTTAGATATCTACTCGGTCTAAGTAGCAGACGACCTCAAATTTGTCAGTCAGTTTGTGAGTGAGCGTTCACACAGCGAGGATGGGTCAGACGAAACTTCTTAAAGATAAATCTAAATCTAAACTAGGTAACTGATATACAAGAAGGGAATATTTAAAATAACTGGAAACATCCATAATACGACTATTCACGTATCATATATTATTCAATCGTAAATAATAGGACTGGTATTGGTATGTATATGCCTTATACCCTCAATGTACTGATGGGTTCTATTAGCCCCCATCGTTGTGTAAAGTTTTGAAATTAACAACCACGAATTTTGTATTTACAGATGGAACTCCTAAAAAGTCACCATGTGGAAAGAAATGTTTTGTGGCGACGGTGGTGGCACTCTTCTTATTCTTGATATTTGTTGCTCTGCCTGGAGGTAAGTTTACGTTATTTTATTGCTTATGTCATTGATCGATTAATCGACGATACACTTTCAATCGATCATTCGATTTTTGTGTCTACAATTTGGATATATTTGAAATCCCGCGTGTAACCGTTATTACCCCCCCCCCCCCCGCCCCTACATTTCATACAACTTTCAATACGAGAATGTCGAAATTATATATGCATTAAGGACAGCATCCAATAGTTCCATAAGAGCACATGTAATGGCAGGAAATATACACCGATTCTTCAACAACTCACATGTTCCCATGTACCCGTCACTTTTTCAAGGAACGTGCATATTCTTTTGCCGATTTGGTTCTCTCTGAATAGTCACCAAACCAAAACTGCACTACTCTATCATAAGTTAATATGACTTAACTGTCTAGATCTGTTGAGTGACAGCCTGCATTGACTAATATAGTGTCTTTTTAGTCATCTGTCATAAGTTAACATGACTGACTTACATTAAATCCTTATGTTAAAATCAGTTGTCTTTTTTGTCATTCAGGAATACTAATTATAGTCCATGGACGAAAAGTTCATAGTCTGGGATGTCTTATTGGTGGAGCCATTTTGGCATCAACGCCAGCAGTGGCTATTGTTGGTGTCTGTATAGGCTTCTTTATTCGAAGACGACGCCGGAAATCGACCGGAAGTGTAGCGTTGAACACACAACGTATTTGAATTTCAAAATGTGCTAGAATCAGCTTACTGTGATTTGACTCTTATTATTGTTGTTATTAATGTCAACATGGTTTCTGAAAGGTGTCGCTTGACATTATTTCAGTATTCAGTGCTCATGTACAGGAAACAGACTGTCGATCATATTGATCTGATTGTCATCAAACAAGATGGAGGTCAATCTCGCAACAAACTGTAAAAGACAAGATGGCTATTTCGTCTTAACATCGTTTCATGATCAACGAAATGGTTTTCAAGTACGTGAATGGAGTCTAAACGAGATTTATGCTTTGTCTGTCTCAAGGAGATTTTTGTGAAAGTAACTTAAATGTGAAATGTCATGGACGCAGTGTTGAGTTATATCCAAATGTGTATCATCAACGAAGACAGTTTGTTATGTAATTTGAATTGGGGCTGACTTTATAATCCATTAAAAAAAAAATCATTATTTCCTTTAAATGAAGGAAACTCACCCACCCACTCACTCACATGCCGCCAGGGTAGTATTATTTACGATAATTAGAACAAATGGATCTCGGAACATTTTTATGGAAGACAAAAGATTCTGAAACTACTGGTTGATATTAACATTCATTATTGTAAATACTCGATAAACTTGAACTTCGTATTGACGTAATCAAAATTGTTTTGTATGTGTGGCACTCTATAGTCGATAGTTTTCGTTTTTAATTGTATATCATAATTCAATATTTGAACCATGTCATTTAAGATCAGGCCATCACCTGAAAATGGTATTAAATCTATTGATGTTAATGAAAGACACAGACAAGTTTATAGATGTCAGTGCTCAATTATTTGTAAAGGATACAGTTTCTAGTCGTGTGAATTGAAATGTTTGTATTACCGTTTAATATTTCGCTTTATATTTAATATTTTGTCTCGTATTATGAACAATTTTCGGGAAATAATCGTCGTTCTAACTGACCTTAACATTATGGTTTTTGTTCATAATAGCTACACCATGCGTGATTCAATAGCGATGAGACTCTAAAAGTATTTTACGGAAATAGACCCAATTAATACGCCTGTTTACTTTATGACGCGATTAATACTTATAACCTACTATATATTTATTTTCTAAAATCAATTGAAACAAGTATGATTAGTTATACGGAACAATTTTGGGTATATTTTGCTGTCTTTTTCAAATGACAAAAGGTTTCCATAAGAAACTGGTTTTTATTTGTACGGTATCTATCTAGTCAGTTGAGAATACGAGTGTTTTGATTATACCAAATGTTTGTGTTTTTTTAGTCATTGTTTTGAGAGTGCATGTCGAAAGTGAATACAAAGATATAGTGTGTTGATGGAATGTGTTTAGCTGATGAAAGATATTATCTGAAGGGACACTCACTGGTTTTTCCTATGAAGACTTTTCGAAAATCCTTAAAATTCAAAATGATTCTGGATTCAATCGGTTTATGATTAATTTATTTACGATTTGTTTCTTCAAACCTTTTATAGTAAAGTAAAATTATAACTCCTGCAAAGGCACCACAATCAATGTACAAGACATAAGCGATTATCAATATGCCCCCATTTCCTTCATTAATAGTATATTAACAGAAATAATAGTCATTAAGCGAAAAACCAAGTATCTCTTCAGAATATGCATCTGATAACGAAATGTATGTGATTTATTAAAACATTTTAGTACTTATCCTTATTTATAAATTGGTAAGCAAATTATATATGCCGCTTTCTTAAAACGAGTAAAGCGAAAACCAGAAGCTTATACATATACGTCAGTATACATTTGTACATTAATACAAGGATTCTTGTACTTAGTCACAATGTCATATCATCTGCCTCCCTCAAGGTGACTTATGGTGAACGTAAGAAGGGACTATTTTAAGACACGGGGTCATGCCAAGTGCACTAATCAAATGAGAACATTGTTATCTGTCAACACTTTACACTCTTATCTTTGTGCAATATAAGACCGATTTAATTACGGTATTCGAACATGATCCCTACTTTTAACCTAACTGTTTATGCCAGTAGTAAATAACATGTACACAATGTTTTACTGGTGGACAACAACAGGAGGAAATGAGGTCCACTAGCGCGTGAAGTATGCCCGGGGCATTCAAATCTTGGTGATACCTAAAATCATCTTGATATATTCAATGACTTTCAGTGCAGTTATTTCCTAAATACAATTTAGTACTGCTATGGATTTAAATTTTATGTTATTTTCTAAGCTGATTCTGGAGATAAGAATTTATAGATGGAAATGTAAAAAAAGCAACTTCTAATGTTTATAGAAGAGTCAAGTTAATATCGAGAATAACAGCTTGATCAATTTTGATCCTCATTAAAGTTATGATATGAAGAACTGGCATCAGCTTTCATATGTAAGACATATTTAGATGCTAAACTCCAGAATTATGATAAGAAACGCCAACATCAGAGAACTAGTCTTTCAAGTAATGCTTTCAATCAATGTTTCTGGGGTATTTAGGCCACAACAGAGAATATCCTCTGTCTGTCGACATTTATGAATTTACATATAAATGACAAGCAAAGGGATTTGGTCCTTTGTTATTATTTTATATAAACAAACAATTATATACTGATGATTGATTTGACCGCCAAATAATTCCCTGTTATGTTTTAGTAAATAGGATTGTAAGAAAGATGATATTTATTATGAATTATGTAGTCTTTTTACTAATCGATTTCATTTAAATATCTTAAGGATGATTACTAAAATGTTATTTTAATTTATAATTCATATGATTCAGTTCCTCACATTTCAATACATTCCTTAATAATACTTATAGAATAACTGACCAATTATGTTTATTCAGGGCGATATTAGAAGCCTAAAAAATTTTTTAAAGCTCAGAATATATCATTACACTTCTATTATGTAATCATAATCCTTTTTTATATAAACAAGACAAAGTCATTATTTTCTCTTTTATCTGTATATTTTATTCACTTTAGCGTATGTTGACGCCATTTTACTACATCATTAAAGTTTTATCGCTATAATGGCCCATTTGTTATTCATCCAAACGTAATCCATCAAAAATATGCTGATTAAAATATTACTCGTGATGAATTTTAATATTATCATGTATTTGTGGTTTTGCTTATGTTAAGTGTATACGTAATTTGTTATTGTACATAAATTATAATATTAATTATTTAAATGAACTGATTGTTTTACATTTTAATCTTTTGTCATGGCTGACTGTGAAATTAAAACCATCGGTCAACAGAAAGGTTTGGTTGTCTTGGTAACACGAATGCCGCTGATTATGACAAATAAAAAGGATTAAAAATATATACCAGATTATTTTTCATTTATTCCCCTAAATCATATGAACTAAGAAAGGATCACGTTATTGTTTCATTGACAGTATTGTTTTACTTACTAAGCCATTGTGCGTTATGTTAAGTGCCAGTCAGTCTCCAAGGCCTCATCTTTGTATTTATAGGCCCACAGTTAATTTAAGATAAGTCAATAGTGTAACAAGAAGTCTTTATCAAAACAGTATTGATTTTAAGAAATTATCATTGTGAATTTATCATTTTAATGGGTTTTTTTTATGGAAGAGAATAATAAATGCTTTAAAACCTAAGTTGGTTCATTTTTATACGCCCACAATGAAATGTTGTCGTAAAATGTCGTCGCCCCCGTCCGCCCGTCCGCCCGGCGTCCACAATTGCTTGTGGACACTCTAGAGGCTAAAGTTAATATCCGATTGACTTTAAATGTATACACAGTGTTTAAGGCCATGAGACGAACACGCCTATTGATTTTCAGCGATTTCCAATAATTACTGCCAGAGTTAAGGCCCTTGATAATTACTGCCAAAGTTATGGCCCTTGATCACTTTGAAAATCTTGTGAGGCTCTAGAGGCTAAAGTTATCATTCGATTGACTTAAGATTGATATATACACAGAGTTTAAGGTCTTGAGACGAACAATTATATTGATTTTCAATGAATTTTGATAACTTGAACAACTAAATCCATGATATTAAATGTTTCGTACACCAAACGTTAGCATGGGGCAGAACTTTATAAAAACCAAACAAATTCAAATGATTTTCTGATAATTACTTAATGAGTTGTTACTCTTAATCAGATTTTAGTGTATTATAAATGTTTCATTACCGAAAATGTAAAAATATGCGACAACTCTTGTTGACTGTCGGACGATTTAGATGCTGTGGGCGTATGTTTCGTTGCCTGGCAACCTGTCTTTTAGTTTTCATTACCATTGATGTCCCAGACTTCTGTGTAGCGATCTTCACGAGGTTGACAAGTAGCATTGGTTTCTGAAAACCAAAGATCACACTAGAGAATGGTGACGGGGCATCATTGCTAAAACTGGGCTGGTTAAAATACTGGTATCCACAGACGCAAGGTTGCCAAAATAAAAGAAAAGACATGACTATCGACCCAAAGAGTATTCAAATTAGTGTACGTGGACTTTACCTTACCAGGAGAAGGTACCAAACTATTGACACAGTCGCGCACCAGGAAAAGCCAGCTTACTCTTTCCAGAACATTTGAAACCTCAAACTATTTATATCTCACAACTAAATCCATCATTGCAGGACAACCATACGACCTGATTAGAATCAAGTGAGAATTATACCGATTAAACAAACAATCACAACTTCTGTTCGTCTAAAGAATTATATTTCCACAAAACACAATTATTCTGTCTCAATTTAATAATACTTGATAATTGTGTATTGTGGATATAGACTAGCATTAAAATAGTCGTAAGAGTACTATACATCTTGGGTTGCTGAAATTTGATAGCCCAGAAAAACCAGTCCGGGTTCGATATCAGCAGGCTATGTTTTCTTGAGCCGTGAAATATTAATGATCATTCAACCTAATATGGAAAAGAAGGAGAGTTACATTTCATTATGTACTTTACTGTAACAAAAGATACGGCAGTGGATAAAATAAAATTCAGGTGGGTTTTAAATGATTGTCTGAGAACTTTGTCAATATTTTCTATTCTTTTAAGAGTTATTAAACTTGTAAAAGCTTGTTTCGAATATACATTTTCAGAATACTATGGTGGCTGAAAGCGTCCATTTAGATCACGAGAATCGCCGTTACGCCAGCACGACAAAAAGGTCGCCGAAAAAGGCGCCGATTACTTTACGATATAAGAAGTTGAAAGTTAGTAACATGCGCAAAGGCTACTTTCATATTTTACTTCTTGTTAGAACATCAGAATGGAGATGTTGGATGAGTTTGAGATTCCGATCGTGATAAATGAACATTTTCAGTGACAATAGGGTAAATTAAAATGCATTGTGTTACAGACATTTGTACTTTCAAAAGGGGACTTTCGTGTTTTGAGGCTCGCGGGTCGTCTACACGCCAGTACGACGAAAAAGTCGCCAATAGTCGCCCTTTTCGTCATGCTGGCTTAACCGCGAAACTCGTGTTGTATCTAGAAACACGATGATCTAAATAGACGCTTTCAACCAACACAGAATACTGCAACATATAACTATATCATAAATTCAGAACATTTATAGAATAAAGATGGCTATTCTAGCATTAATATACTACAATTAAAAAAAATCACAAAATATCCACTAAAGATTACCAATGGTCAAGTGTCATAATGACATTTACCACAGCAGAGTAAATAAAAATTGTCGAAGGCAACTTTAGGGTCTAATATGAGCTCCTCCTTCTGGGGGAACTGTTAGCCTGTGGTTCCTGTTTTAATTAAAATTCTCAAGAGAAAAATAGGTTTATTTAACAGTATTTGTTTCGAAGAACAATATCTGAATGCTATTAATGCAGGTATTCTTTGGTTGTGAATTAAGAATAGGTTCATAATTCGAAACGAAATTTAACATAATTTACAGCTACAATAAGTCAGGTAGTCTACAATATAATACAAGGTATCCGCATCGCTTTCCACTTATCGATGTATGATTATTTACATAACAATGCTGCTGGCGAAAGTTAACACTAAGATTAAACAGGACTATGGGAGTTATCTCCCTTGTTCCAATTCGAATGGACTAATAATAATTAACATGGGCAGGACATTTAAGGGCAAGGTAAAGTGACACCATCTTGTTGCAAACTAGTCTCGACACCAACAATGCTGAACATATTATTTTCCAACACAGAATAGTGGCCCTTGGATACAAAAGCCCAAAATATACTATAATACTCACAATACACTATTTGACTGCCAATATCCCTTTAAATCGTACACCTGCGTGTTATCATGTAAACGAAGATTTCAATTTTATCATTGTCTTGCCTAATCGCGGTTACACCTACAGACAAAACGATAAAACTTGGGGACAGCTATTATCTCTCTATTGATACGCTGATCTATGTAGTAACCTACAGTAGCCGAGTCTTAGATTTTCGAGTTGCTTTCCACTTTCCATGCAGTGTACGATTTCCGCGTCCTTGCTTCCACTTGAATATTACCCTTTAAACGAGCGATGCGAATACTCGTTAAACTGACAGCTTTTACCGGAAAATTATATCGATATGTAAAGGTTTCATTTACACCACCATACACACAATTATGCCATATTCCGTTTAGTAATAAAACACTTCACCGTTTTATTTAAACGTAAACAGTGTTAACGTTTCTACCTTCGCGTCCGAACGTCTAATGTCCTTGCCCTTCTGCTAATATCAATGAGCAAAGTGTTAATTTTAATTACACATTTTTATATTTTGAATTTAAACAATTGCGGAATAAGATTAATTCATATCTGAATGCAAATGAGGTGTTCTTTACGTGATTTGGTAATATTTAAAAAAAAAATTATTCACGAACTTATTGTCGTAATCAACACTTCCGTTGAGCGGCAATTCGACACAGAAAGGTAAATAAAGATGCAGTAAATACTTTTTGACTTATACTATCAAAATTATCGATAAATCAGGTGTTAAATCGTAATATTATAGGACTGTTGGCCATCATTTGCAAGAACTGTCACATCTTTTAATACCAACATTATTCATATGGAGCGTTCTATAAATTGATGAAAACAAAACTGTCAAAATCTAATATCATGACTGCCGTTGTCAAGTGTTGGTAAATGTTAACAAAAAGGCTTGTTTCTAAATTTTTGATTGATAATTATTCATTTATGTTAGAATAATTAGCATTTTGAGGGTTTGGCATAGAATTTGATACCTAAATATAATTTTTGTATGGCAATTATATTTCTATGGAGTACCATTTTGGCAACACATCATATGTTCTTATCAAACATTCAGCTGGACATTTCCACATTCAGTTGTGGACTATTAGTGTATAATTTAACAAGAGTGTGAAGAGTGTGAATAAATATTTTAATGTAAAACTTACTCAATACATATGTCAATACAACATTTGGGTGAGGAACTTATTTATTTATTTTTTTTTATATTTTGTTTTCTTCTTTTTTATTATTTATTTATTATTTTTTTATTATTATTTATTTTTTTATTTATTTTATTTTATTTATTTTTTTATATTTTATTTATTTATGTATATTTTTTCTATTTATTTATTTATTTATTTATTTATTTATTTATTTATTTATTTATTCAAAATCATTTATCTGCTTATTTGTACCATAACTAAAATAATGTAATAAGTTTTTGTCTGTATCATATATAATTCGCGCCACATTGTACATATATTATACACCCAAACCAGAAGGACGCAAATTAAAGGAGCTAAATCGCTAATATTCGGGACCTAGAAATTGGCACAGATGGATCGCAATGCATATATAATGAATGTATATAAACTGATTTACATTCAATCGTTTCTGTTTTTACTCTCATTTTAAATCAGTTATGTTCGGCGAAATACGCCAGAAGTCTCAATCTAATGGCAATCTTTAGCGTCTGGTTATTCCAGTCTAGACCGATATTATTTATTGAGCATCCTCCCCAGACCAAAGCCCTGTATAGGGAAAGTTATGACAAATCATTTACAGGCGCCATTTTGGGTCCCAAGTATGACGCCATAAAAACTATGACGTCATATAGCTTTACTTAGCAAAACGTTTCATTTTGTTCTTGGTATAAGTAACGTTTTACGGGCTATAATTTATCATAAAAACATTGCAAAAGAAACCAATGCAGTTTGGTTCAATGATAATATGTCAGACAAAATGATACTCAAAATCGGCCAAGGCAAAATGACATGATTAACATAATTCAATTTGGCGTTCTTCAGGAATTATCGAGAGCGCTATATCGTAATCAGTGTCTTTCAGTGGTGGTAGGATAAATAATTTATTTTTAAATTCCTCAAAAACAGAGTGGTTATGCAAGAGAAGTGTGTCGAAAAATCGAATTTGACAAACATCAATTTAAAAATGCATTTTTCATTTGATGTCGGGCATTTCTTTCAAAATTTAAAAAAATAAAATAAACAAAACTCCATTAATTTGGTAATAAAAGGGCAGCGATATTCTCAAAAATTTAATTTCTAGAATTCTTGATGGTAGAAATTCAAAATGGCCGGCAAAATGAAATCAAAAATGGTGGAATTTTCATTAATCGTCATTTCTTTCCGTTGGGTATGACTTGTAATATGTGGTATATTAATCCCGAAATGACATAG